TCAGTGTTCCCCACACTATTGTAGACTGTGAGAAAACTTGATATAGGAGGGATGAAGGATGAGAAAACAGTAATCTTACTCACCTGGCCCTGCATCTGCAGGCTTCCCTTAAGAAGGGTCTCTTCTGCCCTTTATGTCGTATAGAGTCTGTTAAAAAAAAAAATACTGCTATTTAAAATCAGAAAGACTTGCACAGCTTTGAGTGGAAAGGATTTGACTGATAAGGTGTCCTGGAAGTTATACAGAATTCTAGGTATAATAAGCATTTTCTATAGAGTCTTCTTAAAGTCCTTATCAGTTTTCTGAAGTGTTGTAGGATTTAGAGTTATTAAACCTTTAAGTTTTTTAGCTGTCTGGAAGATTTTTCCAGACCAATAGTTCAAGATGAAGCTGAAGTTTTTGTATAGTAGAAATTTCACAGTTGTTGGAAAAAAATATCAGATGTTTCAATTTGTTCATGGCAAATTGTCAAAGATTGTTTATTTTCTTTTAGAAAAATAATAAATTTTAAATTTTTGATTATTTCTACACTTCTAGTGAACTTACTAGGATTGTTTCATTAGTGTTCTGAAGAAAATAATTTCTGTAACTTCTGAAAACAAATTTTCCAGCTGTTTTTCTCTTGTTGAAATAAAATTTCCAAAGGTATTTTTTTCTAATTTTATGTTTGCTTATAATTTGTTAAACATATCCTCATAGTTAAAATTGGCAAAAGTATTTAACATTGCAAGCATATGTTAAAGAAGCTTTATTTAACTGGAAAAATAAAATACTAACTTTTGACTTCCAGTAGTTAAAAACTTAGTTGTGTCTTTTTTTTAATGTTAAGTGATTAAAGAATTTTTTTTTCTTCCAAGATACTTCTTCCAAGCATTCATGATAACTTGTATCTTTCCTTTGATACACTGACAAAATGATAACTCAGATACTAGTGTGGGGAAGTTAAAAGATATAGCTAGATGCTAAGAATATTTATTTCCAGAATTTTATTTTGTATCATTTTTCCTACAAACATTACATAGAATTTTATAATTAGAAATACAGAAATACTACAGTGATGATTTCTCATGCTATAGGGTCATGTGCCTGTTTGCAATTTTGTATTCAGAGTAATCTATAGTTATTCCTCAGGTAACTTTGAGAGATTACAACCAAATGCTTTTGATTTTACAAGCACTTATGCATTTGAGTGTGTTTATTAGTGGGCTTACTATCTTTAAAATAGCCAGGCTGAAGTCCATAACAAATATCATAAAATTCTGATATAGTTTTCACTGTTACTTTTTTATTGTGTTTAATATTTTTGTGATGTAATTTCCATTTTAAGACATAATTTCCACATTTGCTGTATGTGTAGAGGCAAACTTTATACATTTAAAATGACACCACCACTGATCAATCTCCTAAATTGTAGGAGTAGTGACCAGAGTAAGTGTCTTTTCTGTGGTGTTCTCAGTGGTGATTTAAAGTTTCTAATTCAAACTTTGAATCATAGAGTCAGAATTGTATAGCTAAAAAGACTTTTAAAATTGCATAGTACAAAGCCCTAATTTTTACAGGTATATTTTACAGGATAGGTCAGTGGCTCCATGAGCTGCCGCAGAACCCCATACCAACTGCATGACCATGAAAGGTCTTAATAAAATTAGTCCCTGCCTCAATTTCAAACATAGGGAATAATTCATTAGTATTGGCCCAAATGAGAACCTTTTATCAGGGCTAAAGGTAATAACTTCCTACTTGACAAAAGGCTTTTTAAAAATTTTCATCCAGAAAAAAAAATTCTAGGGACATTTCATTTCTAGAGAAAATTTACTCCCAGGAAAACAAGTAACCTCTCAAAACTCATATGAATACAGCATTAGTTTAAAAAGGACAGAGTTAAACACAATTTTATGTTGTTATGGGATGTTAAAAACTGCACCCGGCCAACATATGCTTTATGTCATGTGCATAGTTTTCTTAATGAGATATTGCTAAAATGTTGTAAGGTGAAACAAGGCAAAATAGGCTGATATGTGAAATATTTAAAGCCTTTTGCTGATTTCATATTTTGTAGAAACTGTTTTTTTCTTTTTTATAGAAATGCTTACTTATGAAACCAGTTCATACTTCTAATAATTTTGCAAGTTAGAAATATTAAGTCATGTAATTTAAAAGGAGTGTCAGAATTCTCAAGGTTTGTTTTTTTTTTTTATTTTTTGACACTTGGTCATAAATAATTTGTGACAACTGATATTTAAAATGTTTATATTACTTTTCAAAGCATAAGCTTTCTAATTCTCTTTAAAACAACTCATGCTAAGATGATTTTTTTACGGTAAGAAAAGTACAAGTGTTAGGGAGAGAAATACATTTCTAAGCCGGTACCCACTGTTTAGTTTGCAGGGCTTATGCACACAGCATGTACAGCTATGAAGCGCTACCTTCTGGTCACTCAGCAAAAACACACCTTCCAAATGTATTCCAGATGCTGATTAGTCCTGACTGGCATGTGCTGTTCTAGCTCCCTGCTGCTGTGTTTACTTCTGGTAATGCCAGGGTACCAATTAGAAAATTAGCTCATGTTTACCTTTCTTTTCCTGATATAGAAAAGTGATGATGTGGTTTCTAATAGAACAAAAGCATATTAATATAGTTTCTGTTATTAAAGGAAAAGATAAGTCAATCTTTTAACCATTACAAAAGTCAAGATGTCAAATGGTTTAATATTAATTTAAAGTTATAAAAATACAAGTTTGGGGGAGAAAACTTTTTCTGAAATAATTGTATTATTTGCGGGAATGGTATATAGCGTATTTTCAGGAAACTGGGAAGTATTTTTCTTCTTAATCATAAATTCATAGTCCTGAAACCTTCAAGAGTAAGTGAAATTTAACATTTTAAAGCATTCTCTTATTATACTTTTAAAATGTACATTTTAATATAAATTATAAATTTATATATGTATTTTTAATGTGTTGCTTAGTTTGGGCCCCTTTATTTTCTTCTTTAAAGTATGTTAGAAAATTCATATTTTGGTATTTATTTTCTGAATTCCACAATTGATAGAAGTGACAGCTGTATAAACTTCAAAGGAAAATGTCATAAATCACTAAAACTTCGACACACAAATGTATTTTATATGAAAAAAGTCGATTAGAAAAAAAAATTCTTCACTGTAGTTTTTTATTCTGTATCACATATTTATTATAACATAGTGGATTATATAAGCCTTCTCATCTTAGCTGTAATATATTCCAAAGTACAAATGTATGCACAGCATTTATTTAGCACAGTGGCCAAAACATGGTAAGTCTTCAAAAAATTTGTATTGAACTAAGAAATGTGTTCAAATGATTTAATTTCTATTTCTATAAGGCCGACCAGGTAGAATGTGTGGGTACGTAGGGAGATAGATGATAATGTGTCACATCCAGCGGCATGTGACAGGAGGGCCCTGAGATCAGGCCTTCTCTCACCCCACAATCTCTGTTTACCTCCTCTGCTTAGCGCTTTTTTGTACTATATTTTTATTGTTTATTTATCTATTGGTTTATTTTCTGCTTCCATCCCCAGAATGTAAACACCTTGAGAGCAGGGCCTTAGATATTATTCATCACTTTAGCCCCAAGGCCTGCAATTTTTTGCATGTGGAAGGTGCTCAATAAATACTTGTTAAGTGTTATTAAATAGCTTGCATGATCAGAGGCACCAGCATATTACTTTAATTTATAAACGTGTTTTATCTTAGCACCTGAAAACAAATCCATAGGCTTTTAATATTTTATTAAGTTATAAAATAAAAAATGTATTTTTTAGTGTCAGTCACTTACTACATGTGGGCGGGAGTTATTTGTGGAAGGTTCAGTGACGGTGGGGAATATGGGGATATATTCAGTTCTTATCCCTGAGAAGATAGCAGTCTTTGTTGGAGATGGGCAATACATAGCTGTTAGTAAACTATGGACAGTAGAATGTGAAGCCAATTAAATTATATACATTCTCACTGCTGTCAGAGGGCAGAAAAGATAGCACTTTAGGTAGATAAGAGTAAGAGGTGGCTTTGTGTAATAGCTTTGTTTCAAGTTGCACCTTCAGGATGTGGGTTTAAATGGATGAAGAGAGTATAGCAAAGAAGACAGGAAAATGTAAGGTGTCTTTTTGTAGGGAGAATATTTAAGTGTCCTATGCACAGTACTATAAATACTCTGTAAATGCACATTGAATTCAGTTTATTTTGAAGGTCTTTTAATACTCAGCTAAAGAGCTTAGAGTGGTGTTTATAGACTAACAGGCAAATTTTACCACTTCACGTCAATGTCTTACTAACTTGTTTGGCAACATGGAATTCTATTCCTAATGGCTTTTGCAATCTGTTTTAGAGAAATTGTTTCCTAATTCTCAAGATAATTTGGGTTGAAAAACATTGAGATAGACTTTATCCTGCGGGTTTTCTGGAAAACTTCTGAGAAGAGAATTTAAAAAGCAGTATTTGAGTGTGAGACAATAAAGACAATTTCTTAACAGTAGTAGAATGTTTTGACTTCTGGAATATGAAGCGTGAGGTGAAAAGGAACAACACTAGGTGACTTGGTATTAAGAATAGCAATAGGGGGTGAAATCCCACGTGTCCAAGAAACAAATGGTGGGTTTTAGGGATTAAAAATGTAAAGTGTGGTATTAAGGGAGAAGTCAGAGAAGATTTATGCTGCAAAAATGTGTAAGCTGGCTGCATTTAAAGAAACGAGTTCAAATTCCATGACTTTTTCTAGTGCCAAAAGTTGTTTTGCAAAATATGATTTTTCTTGCTAATTTTTGTGTTTATAGCATCATCCTCCCACCACCCCACAGCTTTGCTGAGCTGGGAATGACTTTTACAGTCTATTTAGAGAATATAGTTTTTATTTTATATTTAAGAGTGCAGCAATTGAGCAAGAAATAGCCTCAGAGGAGCAGTCCATTAAATCAACTAAGCAAGAGCATGTAGAGCATACGGAAATCTCTCCTTTCTTTCCCAGGTAGCCCAGGCCTGCACAGTCCCATGTTGGATCTCGATAATGATACCCGTCCGTCTGTGTTGGGCCATCTCAGTCAGACAGCGTCCCTGAAGAGAGGCAGCAGCTTTCAGTCTGGTCGAGACGACAGTAAGTATCTCCCTCCACTGCCACTGGGTCTTTTAAATTTGTACTTGTGTGATGTCAAACATTCTTCTCTTGGAAAATTCCCCAATTTGTGTTATTTCTAAGTATTATCAGCCATCATCTCTTTTGCTTGTAACAGTAACTACCCAGTAATTTAATAATTAAAATATATATGACATTTAAAGAAATGCCATTTGATTTTTAATTGAGTCATTGGGTGCAGGTCAGTGTTTATTCAGCATATTTACTTCAAGTCTGGTTTTACTTTTTCTGTGGTTGAATTTTTTTAAAGTACCACAGAAAAAAATTCTATGAGAACTTCATTAAGATGGAATTTGCAATAAAAGTAATTTCTATCAGCATATCTTTTTTGGTGAAATTTAACTTTGGTTTGGAAAGAGGGATTAGTTGTTAATTAAACATAAAATAATTACTAATACTTTTTCCTAAGATGAAGCATCTAAAATTTTGAGTATATTGCATTTCTGAACTTTCTGGAACTGTTTCCCTATTTGAGATACAATATGATCAACTATCATGCTTTTATGTACCACATTAGATGCCACTAGTCATGAGCCGTTTGCAATATCAATAACAGATTTAAGAAACTTAAATAGAGTAATGGAAATACCTTACCTTATATTAAATTCAGATACCTCTAAAGTTGTTTTAAAATATTTTACTCATTCTCACAAGCATCGAAGTACTGAATTTTTCCAAGGTTTTATTATTATAAATGAATGTTCATCATAAGAGCACCTTAAAATTAGATGATTCATTTGTACTAAATGAAGGGGTTCCATCCTGTTGGTATTCCTTCTTGTCTGATTCCTATTCCTCTCTCAGCTCACCAAATGTTAGAATAAACAATGTTATATGAGAACCATTTGCTCCTACATTCTGTGGGGTGGCATCTAACATTATATAATGTTCAATGTAATTGCACAGAGGAGTTGAGATCTTATGAAACATTATTCTGAGAAAGATACTGTGTAAGAATCCATTTGCTGCCATATAAAGCTGTGTTAATCTGTTTGTGTTGCTATAAAGGAACACTGAGGCTGGGTAACTTATAAAGAAAAGAGGTTTATTGGCTCACAGTTCTGCAGGCTGTACTGGGAGCTTGGTGCTGGCACCTGCTTCTAGGAGGCCTCAGGAAGCTTCCAATCATAGCAGAAGGCAAAAGGGGAGCCAGAGTGTCACATGGCAGGAGAGAGGGAGTAAGGGAGAGGATGGAGATACCAGGTTCTTTTAACCCATTTTCTGTTTAGGGAAAAAAAGTACAGCTCACTGCCAGCACTCACTTAATTTTACATAAACATGCTCTTTGAGGCTGAAGCAAATCTCACTGATTTTCAGCATGTAAACAAAGTATAAAATCTGTTCTTGGGGCCAGGTACAGTGGTTCAAGCCTGTAATCCCAGCACTTTGGGAGGCCAAGGCAGGCGGATCACAAGGTTAAGAGATCGAGACTATCCTGGCCAACATGGCGAAACCCTGTGTCTACTAAAAATACAAAAAATTAGCTGGGCGTGGTAGTGCGCATCTGTAGTCCCAGCTACTTGGGAGGCTGAGGCAGGAGAATCTCTTGAACCCAGAGGTGGAGTTGCAGTGAGCCTAGATCACGCCACCGCACTCCAGCCTGGTGACAGAGCGAGATTCTTACTCAAAAGAACAAACAACAAAAAAACTGTTCTCAGAATTATTTCTAAATAGAACTCGTCTCTAATCCTAATGTAATAGAAATGTGTATGGTGTTCCATTAGGATTAGAGACAACAGTGTTCTTGAGGCAAATGGGAAATGGGTGAAACAGCTGGATCTTGTGTGAACTAATAGAGCAAGAACTCACTCATTATTGCAAGGAGGACACCAAGCCATTCATGAGGGACCTGCCCCCATAACCCCTTCCAACATTGGGGATCACATTTCAACATGAGATTTGCTGGGGACAAAACATCCAAATCAGTCAAAGGCAAACTGTCAGTGTTTCCATTTTTAGTTTTTCTGGTCCTGTTTTTCACCTTGTCAATGGACCCTTGACACAGCTGGCCGTGGCCTGTGCCCTCCCATCTGGAAAACAGGCGTTATCAATTACTGATGGAAAGAAGAGTCTGTAATTGCTGTCTCCAGATGAAACCCACCAACCTCAGAATATCATCATGATGTAATCACCTGGTTAATTAACTGTTCTGTTAGACTCTAAGCTGTAAAGGCAGAGTCTGCCTTGTTGAGCATTCTGAGTGAGTTTTGATCCTGTGGAGCTGCATGATAAGCACATGGTTGATCCTCAATAAATATTGACTGAATGAACAAATCAAAGTTTACAATGTGACCTTAAGAACCATTCCTTTCACACTTGTGAAAATGAATTTAAAACTTTTTCTTCGACTTCTAGCATAGACAAAGGGCTAATATGCCTAATAAATAAAGAGGCTCTACAGGCTACATAGAGGAAGTCTCAGTGGTTCATACACATGTGAATGGACACTAACCTGACAATAAGAGAGGTAGCGAACACTACAGTGAGATATGAGGTTGGCAAAAACGCTTGGTGTTGATCATTTTGTTTTGGGTTTTCTATATTAGTTGATTGATGAGGCCACTACTTGCACATGTAATTGGTGGAACTAGTGTAAATAACCCCTTTAGAGGGCAATCCCATAAATCTATCAAAATTACAACTACGTGTGCTCTTTGTCCCAGCAGTTCTTGTTCTGGAAATTTATTTGGTGCTTACGCTTGAGCATGTGCTAAATGATATAGGTATACAATTACTGGATGAAACATTAATTTTAATTGCGAAAGACCAAAGATAGTCTTGTCCATTGGAAGGGAACTTGTAAAATTACGATACATCCAAAATGTGAAAGGCCATGTAACTGTGGGGAGAAAAAGAGGAAGCACCTTATGTTTGAATATGGAAGAACTCCAGGATCCACTGCTAAATGGAAAAAGCCAAGCTTCAAAAGAGCGTGTTTGGTATGCTTTCATTTGTGTAAAAACCAAAAATATGTAAAGAACAGTTGGAAGGGGGAAAAACACATTTATATTTGCTTGTATATTTAAAAAGTATTTCAGGAAGAGTCACGAGAAACTAGTGACAGTGGTTTCTTCCGGCTGGGAACTAGGCTCATGGGAGTGGCAGGGCAGAGGTGGACTTTTCACTGTGTACCTTTCACATCTTATTTTCTAACCATGAATTACCTGGTCAGATTACTACTTAAATTATTAAATCATTTTTAATAAAATTATTTTAAATTTTATTAATACAATTTATAAAATTTGCCCCTCCTTCACTGGAATAACAATAGCAAATCCTTTTGCCTGGGGGTATTTGGAAAGGAAGCTAGCGGTTTGCCTGGCTGAGGGAGTGAAAGTTCTTATGGACAAAAGAGCAGAAGATCAAACACTGCATGTTCTTACTCATAGGCGGGTGTTGAACAATGAGAACACATGGACACAGGGAGGGGAGCACTACACACTGGGGCCTGTTGGGGGGAAATAGGGAAGGGACAGTAGGGAGTGGGGAGTTGTGGAGAGATAGCAAGGGGAGAGATGCCAGATGTAGGTGATGGGGAGGAAGGCAGCAAATCACATTGCCACGTGTGTACCTATGCAACAGTCTTGCATGTTCTTCACATGTACCCCAAAACCTAAAATGCAATAAAATAAATGGAAAAAAAAAAAAAAAGAACTTATGGGAGGCCGACCTGCTGCTAAAGTTGCTGAGTCGGAGTTAGAGCGTGATCCGCAGCATGGCTGTGTTGTAGACTGGGCAGGGTGGACTCTGCAGTGCCCCTGCTGCGGCCACCTAGGGGAGTGTGGGGCAGGAGGAAACAGGGCAAAGCCATGGCCCCAGGGGTTTAAAAAAAAAAAAAAAAGAGGCAGGACAGACGAGATGGTGAGTGGGTCCCGAATCTCTACACTTGCTTTATTCCCATGAACCTATTCTTCTCACAAGAAGTCTAAGCCGTTATTTCCTAGTTACTGCAGTTAACTGTGTTAAATAATGTATAGCCAAAAAGGTGTCAGCATTTCTGTGTTTTCCTTAAATTTCTGTATTATAGGTGGGGTTATTTAGTATGTGATTGCGCTTGAATGTTTCCTTATGACAACTGGTTTCCTTCCGGCCTTCGCACCTCCTAGGGCGTATGACAACATTTCTCGCAGGCTGATAGTAGCTGAAATTTCACGACTGGCTGTAGGGCAGCCCTTGCCTTTGCCTACCTTTGCTGTTTGAAGGCATTACTTTTGGAAAAGACATATACTATTCAGAGGACAAGGCTGACAAGTCAAAGCCACTTCCTCTAGGTAGCACTCCCAGTGCTGAGGTGTGGCCACCTGGTCCCTTGCCCTGGCCTGCTGGTCAGCTATGATGGTTGGGGGGGGCTCTTCCTTGCCCTCGGGCAAGGAGAAAAGTGGGGTTGCCTGGCTGAGCGTACCATTGCTGATGTCAGCTAAGTGAGCCATGAGCTTCCACACAGACTCAGGCTATTGCTAATGCATGTTTGAGTTTTGGGAGGTGCACGGAGAGGATAGCAATATGCCCAAAAATATCTTCTTGATTCAAAAGTATAATCATGGTGTTTTCTTCTTTTCCCTCTTAGCGTGGAGATATAAAACTCCCCACAGGGTGGCCTTTGTTGAAAAATTGACCAAGCTTGTCTTAAGCCAGCTGCCTAACTTCTGGAAGCTCTGGATCTCCTACGTTAATGGAAGCCTCTTCAGTGAGGTGTGTATATGGACTCAACTAGAGGTGGAGCTGAGTCACCGTGCATTTCTGGTCTTAAAAATGTTAGATTTAAGCGATTTTTTTTAAAAACGTAGAGGCCCAACATCTATAACCGTCGTCATAGTTTAAGATTACAATGTTATAAAGCCCTCCCACTTAGTAGCTATATGACCTCGAACTAGTCACTTTTCCTCATGTGCAAAAGGAGAATAGTCTGAGCGTCTATCTTAACAAGTAGTTGTAGGGATTAAATGAGATAGGGAATTAAAGAAAAAAGAAAGCTTGAACTATTTTCAGGGACTCCAAATTGAGATAATGCCAGTCAGGCCAAATTCTGGGTGATATGTGGTGGACTGTGAATCAATGATGAAATAAGGATAACACCTCAGCAGCCTTCACCCAGAACAAAGTAATCCATAGAATATGCAGTTTCCTTTGGAAAGAATTTAAAGATTCTGCAATCTAGCCCCATTATTATCAGCCTGCGGGAGTTTTTATAAGCCTGTCGTCCATCATCTGTAGTCACACGTTTATTAATGCTTAGTATCTTCATCATAATATGATTGTAGCATAGAACACATGAACATAAAGGAATGACCCTTACTGTTGTGTATGGCACATGGAAGCCAGCCTCATTTGTTACTTTCTAACCTCACCTCAAGTGTGTCATGAAAGACCTCCAGCTCCTGGATATAGATTCCAATGCCATTTGTCCCGGGTTGCCCAGGGTACCCTACCTGGAAGACTCAGAAGACAGCTCTGTTTCGTGTCTCTTTAGGAGAGCTCTCTACACCAAGAGCTCTAGGGGAGATAGGTATCTTCTGAGGGTAAAGGCTCCTTTCTGCTTCTTTTTGACTTGGCAACACACAAAGTGGAACTGGACAAAGGCTAAACCATTTTTTGGTTTTTTGCACAAAGGCACAGCCTTTGTGGTTTAAGACCTCTCCTCCTTGGCAGAAAGTGGTTAAGTGTCAGAGCGTCTTGGGTGTCTTTGGAGTCTCATTTGACCATGGACATAAATTCATGCTGATATTAGGGAAATAGAGATGTGCTCTGGAACTTTTTTCTCTGTATATTTGAACTCCAAGTGCCTACTATCTCTGTTATAAACCCACTGGATTCCTGCAGCCTTGTTTATATGAATGGTTGGTTTTCCAGTCATGAAATTTACCAAAAACAGAAATGTGCAATGCATGAACAGAAACTCCTTAGTGCAGAAAAACCAATCTTGTAAGCAAGATTTATCAATGCATTTTTTCCTTTAATTTCAGTATTCAGTTACTTTGTGGATTCTATAAAGTTAACATTCAAATATTAAAGCAATACATAACTTTCTTTTCTTTGTTAGTTATGCATGAACTCTACTGAAAAGTTAGCTATACAGAGAAGTTCTTACATAAAATGAATGTCAGGTTTCACAGGTTTGCGTACATGAGAGTTGCTCATTGTTGGCTTAGGAAGAGAATACTTTCATTTCAGTTTTGTCCTGATAAGTTTTTCCAATACTCTGCTTTTGTTTGTGTCACCATCAGTTTGTGTCTCTGTGAATCTCAGCATGGTGAGAGCCCCACATGGGACTCTGACCATGCTGAGGACAAGCATTGGGTCCCTTGCCCTCTACACAATGACAGTAGTGGCACTGTGGGCACCAGCTTCCTCTCTGTGTCTGCTCTGTTCCTAAACCAAGTTGTTCATGTGGGCAGGAAAGATGAGATGCTTCCCTGTCATGCCTTTGCACAGGCAGCATTCATAGGTTTTCGCACAGAACACTAGGAGCATAATGGAAACATCCAGTGCCTATCACTTACTAGCTGTGGCCTTAGGCAGATTACTTCTCTGCACCTACTTTTATAGGACTGGTTTGAGAATTCAATGCGTTAGTATATGTTAAGTGCTTATAATAATGTCTGACAGATAAGTAAGACTTTCCTCTTATTATTTGGAATGAAATTTATTCCAGTATTTCCACTATTTGAAATCTCATTGGCCTGGCACTCAATAGGTGTTCAGTGAACAAAATTTTGTTAACAGTGGAAAACAGTAGACTGATGAACTGCTGGAATAGAATCAAATAATGTCAAGATGAATCAACTCATCTAAAGAATTAGTCTTTCAGGACTACAGTGTTTGAGTGGAATGAAATGTCCCTCATTTGCATCAGTTCCCACAGGTGGCCCACCACACATGGACAATAGTTGCCTTCCATGGAGTCTTTTCGAGACAAAATTCCAAAGAATTTTTGTTCTAGGATATTTTAGTGAACAGGGAGTATGTTTTGCTTTTTTACAGATTATTCATAATTATATACCAAACATATCAACGAAATATTTGGTTGTAGATGAAAAATAAATGATCTACTTCAGAACTCATGAACATTAATGTTGAAATGAAGAAATAACTCTTAATTGGTTGTGCTGCATTGGATATGCCTGTGATATTTCTACCTCTTTATAAACTTAAAAGCTTATAGCAATAATTATTAATTAGATGTAATTTTCTCTGCAGATTTGGGCATGTTTTGAAACCATGTGCCCCCTTCTGAAGAGCTAGAGGAAAGTGCAGGGCTGTAGGAAGGAGCAAAGGAGCTAGGGGTGCATGCTCCCTTTGTCTGTCTGCAAGTGAAATCCGGACACTGGATTCAGTTAATACTGGGAAGAGTTCTGGGGCTATTGATAGCTATTTAGTCTCATGCAAGAAAGCTGGATACCTTTTAAACACAATTTACTTGAATTTTCTTATTTTTCTTGTTATAAAACTATCTCTTATTAAGAGCCCATCCGTTAAAAATTTAGATGAAGTTTCCAACAGTTTAAAAAATAGTCAGTTCTTCAAACCAATGAAGGCCATGTGAAGTAACAAATGTGAATCAAAACAGTGAAATCCAGCCGTTACTCTCACCACAAAGTAGTTTTGGTCTGTGTGTGCAGGAAAGAGTTAAGGTTTCTAGTTAACGAAATGGTTAATAGTAGGTTAAGATCTCACCTTTAGATTAAATATAGTGTATTTTTAGATAAAAATCTTTAAAACATTCAAATAATTGTTAAATATTAAGTCAGCATTTTAAAAAGTTACATAACTCCATAGTACATAATTAAAATGCATCACACATTGCAAAATTAGATTTTCTTTTAAAAACAGTAAACTTTACATAATCCATTGTGTTGGAGATAATTAACTCTTTATTAAATTAAAACAATAAGTAACAACTGAAAGGGGTCTGCCGCACAACTAACCCCCTCCCCCTCTACTTTTTATATATTTGGAGAAAAGTCCTGGATTTTACGAAATTACCCTCCAGTAGGTTTCATCATCCACTCATGAATACCTGTTTGGGCAAAATTGTTCTGGCAGAATTTAGCCTTAATTTTTGTATACTGTTTAACAACCGACTCTCACTCTTTTCTTTGAATTAAAAATATGTAATAGAACAAATGACTATGAAATAATCTTCCCATTGCACAGTCCTACTATGTGCAAAGTTTGACATCAGGTACTGTGGAATGTACAAGCAGAGGAGACGCCCTTTGACACTCAGACACTTGCATTTTTATACTGGCATGTGCCTCCCTCCGGAGCACGGTGGAGCAAGTCTGCATGAGTCAGGGTGCTCCAGGGCCACAGAACCAATAGGGGGTGTGTATGCGTATACCTGCAGTCACACACACAAACATGAAGAGATTTATTCTAAGGGGTTGCCACGTGTCATTATGGAAACTGACAAGCCCCAAGTGTCTGCAGGATGTGTTGCCCAGCTGGATGGCTGATGCTGTTAAGTTCCAGTTCAAATGCCAGCTGGCTTGAGACCTAAGGAGAGCAGATGTTTCAATTCAACTATGAAGGCAGATAAAGCCCAGTGTCCCAGCCTGAAGTCAGTCAGATAGGAGGAGGCCTCTAACTCATGGGAGATGAGCTCTTTTGTGCTGGTCAGACATTCAACTGATTGAGTGAGGCTCAACCACATCCAGAAGAGGCTCTGCTGTGCACAGTGCACATGTTAATCTAACCCAGAGTAATGTTTCACCAAATGTCCAGCACCCTGTGGCTCAGCCAAGATGACACAAAGTTAACCATGACGAGGTCCTTAACAAAGACTTAGCTCCTGACATTCTAGTAGGTGCTGGGCGCTGCAGCAGCCTCTGAATTCATCAAGCAGAGCAGTCCTCTCAACCCCCAACCTTTACACAAAGCTCTCCAACCTCTGCTTACCCCGTTTGCTGACACCTTACATCTCCAGGAGAAGAGTTGAGCCTGTTAGGTTTGAAAGAAGCATTTCATAGGGTTAGGCCTGGCAGATCTGCCACCCAGGTCGACTCTCATGTCAGGACCCAGAGTATTCAGGGCAGTTACCCTTTCTTAACTATATTCAAGAAGGTCTGGGAGAACCCTCACCCTAGGTGATCATTTATTCACCAGGTACCAGGTACTGAGACACACATGCATGCATGCACACATAATATATGCACACACATATGCATGCACACACAACAGACACTACACCATGTACACATATGTATACATATATGGAAACATATAACATGCATATAAATGCATGTGTGCATACTCAATATGTAGACATACGTACAAATTTACATACATATCTACAATATAAATAAAACAGTGACCAAAATAAGCATGACCTTTCCTCTTCTAGAGACAGAACCAAAACAATTTTTTAAATTATTATTTAAAAAATTCTGGTAAGAGCTATAAAAGAAACAAATAGGGTTGTAAGATAGAATATCAGCTGTGGGATGGAAGTCAGGGAAGGCCTCTCCCTGGAGGTGATACCGAAACTGACATGTGGCACAGGTTAAGGACACAACCACACAGGATAGGGGGAAGCAGGCCCCAGGCAGCAAGGAGGATGCCCACAGCATCAGGAGGGCAGCTTGGCATATCTGAAAAGGAAGGAAGCCCTGATGGGCAGAAGTGTTTCTGAGCAGTGGGAGGGTTGGGAAGGACAGGCCCAGCTGGCAGCGGCTTCATCCCAGGCCATAGGGCGGGGAACAGACCAGCTTTCCAGTTTTAAAAAACGCACCTTGGTTGCGTGTTTGCAATGAATTGATTGGGACAAATGTGGGGGAGAAGCAGGAAACTGGTCGTTTGGATGAAGGCTTCACCAGTGGAGTTGGAGAGCAGTTGGTAGGTTTGGTTGTGTTTGGAAGTGGTGTTAAGGTGAGGGAGAGAAGAGAAGGATTCCAGGGTTGCTCCTAGTGGTCTCCTGAGTGAGCAAGACTGCATTTGCCAAGCCAGAAAGACCTGAGGAACAGTGTACTTGGAGGAAGTTTCAGATTTCCATTGATAATGTGGTAGATTGAGATTCCTGGGAGTTATTCAAGATTCACATCTGGGTCACAGAGGAGATATTTGGGCTGGAGGTAGAGATTTAGAAGACATTAGGTAGAAATGATATTTGAAACCACAGGAACACACTAGACAGTATAGACACAAAAGAAAAAAAGTGCCCAAGCCTAAGACCTAACAAACTGCAACATGTAGAGAAGAGCTTTGTCACCTCAGTGACCATGGCATTCATTTGCTGTATGCCTGTACCCCATATCACCAACAGTGTTCTAATTCTGATAATCACACCGGGCTTTCAGAAAGCAGCTGAGCAAACATTCAGAGCCACTGATGTTACCGGAGCAGGTGCGACTTAGGTGGGAGTCCCTCTGGGCATGTGTCCTTCCTCACTGCAGCACCCACGGCAGCCAGTTCTCCCTCAGGTGGCCTCTCTCAGTCACCTGGGCTCATCTGCTGCTGTCTCAGCATGCCTGTGCTCATCTGGACCACCGCAGCATCCTGGCTGGCCATGCTCGCATGCTGGCCCCTCTCATTCCTTCTTACTGTAGGCTTAAAACACTTAAGTTCCTTCTCACTTGTCTTAAACATAAAGGAAAAAGCAATGTATGTGTTAAACCCCGCTGTACAAAGAATTCTGAGTGTCATTGACCAATGAACTCAGGAGTTAGCTTTTTGAATGATTATTGAGATGAATTGCATGTTTAGTTTTTATACATACCTTTAATTCTTTCAGATAAAAATGTATTTCTATGAAGAAAAAAATGATAGGCTGGGCGCAGTGGCTCACACCTGTAATTACAGCACTTTGGGAGGCTGACGCGGGAGGATCACCTGAGGTCAGGAGTTTGAGACCAGCCTGGCCAACATGGTGAAACCCCATCTCTACTGAAAATACCAAAAACTAGCTGGGTGTGGTGGCAGGCATCTATAATCCCAGCTACTCAGGAAGCTGAGACAGGAGGATCACTTGAACCTGGGAGGCGGAGGTTGTAGTGAGCTGAGGTTGCGCAATTGCACTCCAGCGTGGGCAACAAGAGCAAAACTCCATCTCAAAAAAAAAAAAGAAAGAAATGATAAAAGTTGCATAGTTTAATATAAACTTTTAAACTGAATGTAAACTAGAGTTTGAAGGATATTTGTCTATGCATGTGCTGCCCATATTTTTGTTAGATGTGTCTGATAGTTTTGTTGAAAACACCCAACAGTCCTAACCCATATTTTACTTACAATGATATGTTCATTATATAAACTAACTCCACATGCAGTTTTTGTAGCTTATACAGAAATAAATATATATATATATGTATATATATATACATATATATATACATGCACAGAACATTGATTGTATTTTAAAATTAACATAAAGTCAATATCATGATCATTTACAGTGCACCTGTTCTTAACTTGAAAGGTCTTGACTTGTCATGCATTAACCAATTGAATAGGTTTCTCTTTTAGTCAATATAATTTTCCATACATTAAGGAGAAAGAGAAATATTGGACAAAAACGTGAGTTATCTCAGTAAACAAAAATTAATTCTAGAATGAAGGATGTATTTTCTCCTAAATCACACTGAGAATCTCTGAAGGAAGAGCTATAGTTTATAATATTTTAAAAATAAAATGACAGATTTCAGATTAGGCTTCCTTTGGTTTCTTTACTAGCTAATGAGAAATGAAGTGGACAGTGTTATCCTGGGTATGATACTGAAATTGTTGATGAAAATGGTATATGAAATTCACTTATAAAATTGGTAGTTTCAACTTAATTCTTAGATTCATTTATGGAACTTCTCATTGGAATAAGAAGGTTTTCTAATTAATCATTCTTTAATCAGAAACATAGATTATGCCATAAGCATTCCTTTTAATCAAGTTATAACCATATTTAATGTTCTCTTCATGTACAAGTGCTAAAACATTTCTTATTTTTTATAAATTATTTCTAATATGTTTTATTTTATTTTTTAATTTTTAAGACTGCTGAGAAGTCAGGCCAGATTGAAAGATCAAAGAATGTAAGGCAAAGACAAAATGATTTTAAGGTGAGTAAGGGATAGTAAGCATGTAGACTTTTTCACAGGGGAGGGTTTTTCATTTCTCATTTTGTGTTCAAGACATCCGTTATTGCCCAGGCACCATCTTTTAGTTACTGTCATCTGATAATGACATGTTAGTGCCATTGTGTTTGTTCCTTGTTTTCTAGAAAATGATTCAGGAAGTAATGCACTCGCTGGTGAAGCTGACCCGCGGAGCGCTGCTCCCCCTCACCATCCGGGATGGGGAAGCCAAGCAGTATGGAGGCTGGGAGGTGAAGTGCGAGCTCTCCGGACAGTGGCTCGCTCACGCCGTCCAGACCGTCAGGTGAATATGGACACATTCTCAGTAAAAGGGGTACATTGGTTTTTTAGTTTTGGAAAAAAAAAATACCCAGTATGGAATATTTTTAATACATTCGGTGAAGAAGGAATTCTTTTTCTTCTCTTTGTCCTTTTGTCCCCACTGTTTCCTGTTTGTTGTCTGACAGCTAAGCTTCTCAGTGTTCCTGGTGTTTTATGTCGGATGAGAATGTTCTACTGTTATACATCTTCTCTGTTTAACTCAGTATTACTGTTATCAGACAATCCCTGTTGTGATCTGTTTCTGTTTTCAGCCTCATGCTGTAGTGTGTAAGCTCCATGAGGAATGATTATACAGTGAAAGTGATTCTAGGAATTGTTTTGCCATCCCACTCTGCTCACCTTCATTTGGTTGTGTTTGTTCACAGGCTTACTCATGAATGCATCTTCTCTGTTTAACTCAGTGTTACTGTTATCAGACAATCCCTGTTGTGATCTGTTTCTGTTTTCAGCCTCATGCTGTAGCGTGTAAGCTCCATGAGGAATGATTATACAGTGAAAGTGGTTCTAGGAATTGCTTTGCCATCCGACTCTGCTCACCTTCGTTTGGTTGCGTTTGTTCACAGGCTTACTCATGAATCATTGACTGCCCTTGAAATTCCTAATGACCTGTTACAGACTATCCAGGATCTCATTTTGGATCTCCGAGTACGTTGCGTAATGGTCACACTGCAGCACACGGCGGAAGGTGTGTTTAGAAAAGTTGGTGACGTTTACTGTGCAATGATTATCTGAATATGCCACCTCCTTTCAGCTTCCAAATCCTTGAAAAAAGAGGAAATTACTCTTCTGGAAATTGGAATATATTAGGTCATCTTACTTCTATCTACTCAATGGAATGTTTTTTCTTTTTGGTGATGTATTTTCAAATCAGTTTAGTTGAGAATTAAGACCATGCCGAAACTAAGATGGATATACTTGAAAATGTTTAAAGATGCAAGAACAATTGTTAAGTAGAAGACATAGGGTATAAAATGTACGTAAAGTCTCATCTCAGTTTTGAAAATAGTGGATGTATCATTTTAAATTTTAATTTATAGAAATCAATGTCCCGTCAAAGGACATTGATTTGTCTCTTAGCATTGCTTCTCTGGATTCTAGAAGTTATAGATGATTCGTGTTTTCTTTATCATTTTAAATTTTTCAGAATTTTCTACATAAAATCATAAAAAATAATAAAGCTTTTCTTTACAAAGCACCTTTTGGTTATTAAATTTTTTCAAAAACAGTCAAGAACATGGCTAAAATGGCACAGGCCATTACTATCTACTGCCAGGATTTTTGGGTAGGAAGCTTACATCCCTGCAAAATTGGTGGGTGATACACTGTGTAAATGGGAAGGGAATGGAACCCAGGTGAGAAGTTGGCCATTCCCTCTTAATTTATCACCTCCTCCTCACCTAGGAACCTGAGGCTGCCCAGTCCTGAAGTTTTGAGCAGGTGGCATTCCCTTACCCAAGTGAGAAGCATACTGCCCTTGTCAGAAATGTATGGGATTCAAAAGTCATCCAAATTATTCATCAGAAATTTTAGGAATAAAATTACTATATGGCTTATTTAGAATTCCCCAAATTGGACTTTGCAGTAGAATCTTTTATTTAATTAGTATCTCATTAGAATAATCCAGTGAACAATATGTACTTAAATCCTCAAGTCTATCAAAATTATATTCTTGCCTTCTTTGACCAAGCTTTTACAAACCTACATAAAATAATTAAAAATCATAACCTGTATAAATTTTTAATCTGTATAAAATTTAGTGAGATAATTATAATAAAATGTATTTGTGTGCTTGTTTTCATATAGAAATAAAGAGATTAGCTGAAAAGGAAGACTGGGTTGTTGATAATGAAGGACTGACTTCTCTAGTAAGTTTAAATTGTTTTCCATTATTAGTCATTAATATATATTTAAAATCAATGGTTTATCATATTAATAAGGAGCATATGCTTCATATGTTGCAACTGTAAATAGAAATATAAGTTCTTAACGTTTTTATTCTCAGAGACATTTTTGCTTAACACTAACCATAAATATTAAACAATTAATGAAAACAGTGGATTTCTTTTAGAGTTGACCTTTTTCATCCTGTATAACTTAACTATTTTTGTTTGAATTACTTTTTAAAAAATAGAATATGCTTAATTCTAAATTACTCAGCAACTTAAGCTTGTCAGAAAAGCAGAATAGAAGAGATGCGGTTGCTGGCTCTGAAGCCAAAACAAACCAAACACACAAAAACAACCACCACAGACCACTGCAGATACATTCACAGGCCAGGCAGCCAACTGTGACCTGTTTCTGGACTCTTCATCTTCTCAGCTGGGACTTTTAGGTTTGAAAATCATCTTTGTGATTTCTCAGGTTTTCACACTTATCTCACAGGTGCTCAATGGAATGTTTTCTTTTTGTGATGTATTTTTCATCATGACTGCGCCAGTGACGATGGCCAGGCAGCGGCCGAAACGTCCCAGTAGCTTTCACCAGGCAGAGACTTCCATCTCTCACAGTGACCTGGCAGCCTGGTCATGTAGTCAGTGCCCAGGGCTGCCTCTGTCCTTCTTCCCTGTGATCCTTCACACTGGCTTCTACAGAGGCTGGCCTCATGGTCACTCATGGCCTGGCTGTTGTCAGGAAGAAGGGCCAGTCCCCTCCCAGGAGCCACAGCTTACAACTCTCCTCTGATTGGTCAGAACACATTCTGTGCCTGTCACTGTCAGCAACAGAGGCTGGGAGAACACATGGCTGCTCCTGTTTTCTATCTTACCTTATTAAGAAAAAAGGATAGCAAACCTAGAACTACCAGTTTCTGCCTTAGATAAGGAAACTAGAATGAAAGGGTCATGACTTGCCCAGATTTACAAACCAGTGATGAGTCAGGCTGTCAAGAAACAATGATCCTGCATAATATTTTTACATTTCCTTGAATTTCTGTATAGTCGTCCCTTGGTATCCTCAGCGAGGGTTTCTTCCAGATCCCTTCATTCTCAAGCCCCTAACAGTTAGCTTTCTGTATCCTTGGACTCTCTATCCAGCCAGTTCTACCACTGCTGGAATTCACAGATGCAGAGCCCATGGGCATGAAGAGCCGACTGTACTTCTCATGGGTGATCTTCTTCTGGGGGCTGGGGAATTTTTGACTCATTCTGTTCCTCCAAAGTTCAAGGTTCTAAAGTTAATATAAATACATCATATTGTTGTACCTTACTTTGTATATAATGAGGTGATTTAGAATAGCAATGTTTACTAACAATTTTTTGCAAATTAAATCATGCTTAAATCGTGATTTAAATGCATTAGAGAAGTTTAATAAGTCAATTACAATTCTATTGTATAGAATATTTATAAAATATTTTTATAAAATCAGGCCTGTTGTGGTGGCTAACACCTGTAATCCCAGCACTTTGGGAAGCTGAGGCTGATAGATCACCTGAGATCAGTAGTTCAAGACCAGCCTGACCAACATGGAGAAACCCCATCTCTACTAAAAATACAAAAATTAGCCGGGCATGGTTGTGCATGCCTGTAATCCCAGCTACTCAGGAGGCTGAGACAGGAGAATCACTTGAACCCAGGAGGTTGCAGTGAGCCAAGACCGCACCACTGCACTCTAGCCTGGGCAACAAGAGCAAAACTCCATCTCAAAAAAAAAAAAAAGGAAGAAGAAGAAAGAAAAATTTAATTGATTGGGTCTCTGTTTGTCACAATTATTTGTATTTAAATAGAAACTAGTCTGTAGCTAATTCTCCCTCACACCAAATCTTTAGAGAAAGGCATAGACCTGCACTGTCTGCACAAAAAGACAATGTAAACCATCTCCACTTTTTATATTGACTGCATGGGAGATAATAATATTTGATAGATTGCATTAAATAGATCATATGAAAATTGACTTTATTACTTTATTTTAAAAAAGCTTTTAAAATGTGATTACTGGAAAATCTAAAATTTCTTACGTGACTTATGTTTGTGGCTAACATTATACATCTATTGGACAGCACTGGTATGAAGGGAAAATTTATTGCACGTGATTTGGAGTCAGAGCCTAGTTCAATCCTCCATGCAGTCCTAAAGAAGCCATGTAGTCTGTCTGAACCTAGGGTCTTAGTTTGTAAACAAGGAGCAGAATATGTCGTCACTGTGTTGTGGGTTAGGATACAATGAGATGCTGTGGACTAAAGCACCTAGTAAACTGCAATGCTCTGGACAAACACAAAGGATGTTTACTTTTGTTAAATTAATACTTGTGATCACTGGGGCTACTATGATAATAATACATTGTTTACTGTTTTCAGAGCTCTTTTATATAAACCCATCCTAATTATCATAGCAAGCTTGAAGATAGGCCAGAAGGGGTCATTGGGCCACCATCCACCGAATCATTTGCCCAAGATGAAATAGGTACTGGCAGGTTAGACATACATACCTCAAGTCAGTCATGTACAAATGAAAAATATTACATGTTCAGTTTGAGAAAACGGAGTCTGCTGTCAAGGTTCTATGCCTCATTTTTAAAATCTGCCCTAAATTCAGTAACTCTGAGCCATAAAACAGGGATTGGCTTCAGGTCCTTCTTCAGGTCAGTGCCTCAGGTACACGTGGTCAGCTGGTGTGTGCTTTCCTGGAAACCTCCAGACCTCAGGAGTAGCCGCTCTTCTGATTGTGGTACATCAGCCTCTGTGAAAATGCTCTGAAATAGTTGCTGCAGAAGCTTCTTTGTAGTTTATTTTTAAAGTTTAACTATAACCAGTGCAACTGCAACCATAAAATAACTAATTTCATGTTTGATCTCATACACAAGCCACATAACCATCTGCAGGGATGAAAGAGCTGACCCCCAGTGCGCTTTGCAAATGAATGAGCCCTAGGAAATAGCACGTCTGGAGTTAACCAAGACGTTGTCTAGCCAGATGTCCTTGAAGAAATGTCCTACCACGATAGACCTGATAACACTGAGTCAGTTTTTTAGCTCTTCTGCATGGACCTCTTAAGAGAAAAGGTGAACCGATGCTTAGAGCACAAGTCTAGATTCCAGCTTGGAGTATTACTATTTTAACACAGTATGTATATAAAATTCTTAGACTTTGAACAATGATTTAAATTGTATAACCCTAACCTCTTATCACATACCAGTATAAGAAAATGTGTATTTTCTTAACATTTCCTTAGTACCAATCCCATTTGTTTGAGACAAGAAAATTTTTTTCTTCCCTTGTGACTGGGATAGGATATGCTGCTTATCCCATTAAGGATGTCAGGCTGAAGCACTGCCTTATGGTGACTGTCCCTCAGCTGAGGCATTTTCTCTGATTAGAGCTTCGCTTCAGGGCTCTGAAACAGCTCACTTGAAAGCATCCTGTTTCCTTCTCATGTTGAAAATGATTTCTGCCTTTTCTCAATTTGGATAATTCTGAGATTCTTAGAATTTTCTTCTTTCAGAAGAAGTGGAATGATTTGTGATAACTTGACAATCAGCTAAATTGGGTGACTCACTGACAATACAAAGAGATAGGCCTATTTCTTTCTTTTGAGAAAAAAAAAATAGCAAACATTTAGACTATCACCTACTCCCAGTTCAACTGAAAGCACTCATTGAACTTCCTAGTATTCTGTATCCACTTACTATATTAGTATGAGTATAAAAATAAAATTAATAAGAAAGTTGAGTTCAGATTTAATAGAAGAAATCTAAATAACCACACATGAGCATCAACATACATTTATATATTTATTTATTTATTATTTTTATTTTATTTGAGCAAGAGTCTTGCTCTGTTGCCCAGGCTGGAGTGCAGTGTGCAATCTTGGCTCACTGTAACGTCTGCCTCCCTGGTTCAAGTGATTCTTCTGCCTCAGCCTCCTGAGTAGCTGGGACTACAGATGCGCGCCAGCACACCCAGCTAATTTTTTTGTATTTTTAGTAGAGTTGGGGTTTCATCATGTTAGCCAGGCTGGTCTCAAACTCCTGACCTCAAGCAATGTACTTGCCTCGGCCTCCCAGAGTGCTGGGATTACAGGCGTGAGCCACTGCGCCCGGCCAGACATCAACATTTAATTGCCCACAGTTGAATTTCAGATTTGATTGTCAATATTATAGTAATAATTATTGTAACATCTTAAATTTACATACCTTCTGAGGTGGGTAGGTTAGATGAGTAAAGTTAGTAACCTAACAAACCTTTTGCCTCTTTAAATGCTTTCTGTGCAATTGGTATTTCATATTGTAATTCTTATTTTATTATTGTTTTTGTACTTTCACTTTTAATTGTTTTTTATAATGCCCTCTGGTGGTTTCAAAGTGCCGTAATAGCATGACACTAAAGCTGAGGCACTGTTTTAGCTTTCACTAAGCCTGGGTTCCTTTCTGTAAGAAAATAAACCTTTCTTTTTAAAAGATGTATTTAGATGTCACTTCCTTTCTTCTCTTCAGTTTTCTTCCCAAACTCTTTTAAAAATCGATGCATGTGTTGAAGAGAGGTTCTCACTCCCCGTGTTTGCATAGAGCTGGTTAGCTGACTCTTGAGCCTTCCGTGGCTCACTGCCCTGATGAAGCCCTGCCCCCTGCCCCACCTCTCGAGACCCGTGCTCACATTTGGCGGTTGTGACATGCTACTTTTCCTATGGTCTGCTTTCCCAGTGGGTTCTTGCCCACTCTGCGGCCTGTGTGCACTGTCTTCTGAGAACTTGTTCCTCTACTTCCCTGTTCCTTCAAAGGGCTAGTCCCCCTTGCCCTTCCCTTCTCAACATCAATGTTCTTGCCGTCTTGGGGGCCTTCTGTGACTGTCCTATTTAGAGCAGATCCCCCATCATGATATTCTGAGTTCTACTTCTTTTATTCTTGGTGCTTATTATATCAATTATTTTATTTCTATACCTTTTTTAAATCATTCTGTCAACTGTGACTTTTCTGGTAATGTCTCCTGCCTGAAATATACACATAATGAGAAGGCTGTCTTACTTATTCCTTTATCTTTCTTACCTAGAGTAGGTCCTGGCACAAAGTCAAAACTTAAATACCCTTAGGGAGCTAAGATGTTAAGATTTGTTCTAGCTTATCTTGAAATGTCATTGGTTGGACATATTTTCAAGTTTCATTTTCTGACTTGATGTAGATAGAAAATGAATATTTACAGTCTCTCTGATATAAAGATCCTGTACATCTCTAGATCATTATTATTAACATTTAATTTTGCTTAACAGTTCCAGAGATGTGGAAGATCCAGGAGACTGAGCTCATCCCAGAATGTACCTGAGAAATAGCATTCAAAATGTAAACTCATTATATCTGTTCCTCGTTGTGTATCAGCCTCTTAGAAGAGTAGAATTTTGAAGAAAATTTTTAGTTCTATTTGAGTTTTAGTTGAATTAGATATACTTTAGAGTCTCAAGATTGATTCATTCTAAAATATGAAGTACAAAACATGCCAAACCTAAAACTCAACGACTAGGAGATTACTTTTCAGATTGTGTTTCTGTTCCTTTCCATTAATCTGGAAAATTTGGAGGTTGGGGCCATATTCACTTCTGTGAAATATGTCTTAGTAGCCAGAGCTTGCTTTTGAATTTTATGATATGCTGTTTTCCCTTCAGCCATGTCAGTTTGAACAGTGCATCGTGCGCTCTCTACAGTCACTGAAGGGTGTTCTGGAGTGCAAGCCAGGAGAGGCCAGCGTAAGTATTCCAGTTCCACTTTGACGCCACAGTTTCCCAGGGAGCCCACGGGAATTATAGTTGTACATTTTTGACTCTGCATTGCAAGGCTTTCTCTCTCTCTTTGCTTGCCTGTTCCATTTAGTTTATGTAGATATGCTGATTTCTGACTCCAAGACAGGCTGATGAAAGATAAAATGTGAGTGTGAGTGTTGTAGGTAGAGCGGTTACAGTGATAGCACTTTTTGGACAGTGAATGATGAGGCTGGATCTTGACCATCAGCCCAGCATGGCGTTGTCTTCTCAAGCCCGAGTCACCACAGTGAGGAAAACCACCATTGGGCCAAGTCTTCTCTTGTGTTCCTTTTAAGAGTAAGGACACCACTCCTGAAGCAGTGTTCCACGTTTTAACTGTTGTTTTGTTTTGTTCTGTTTTCTTTGAGATGGAGTCTCGGTCTGTCGCCCAGGCTGGAGTGCAGTGGCATGATCTTGACTCACTGCAACCTCCACCTTCCGGGTTTAAGCAATTCTCCACCTCAGCCTCCCAAGTATCTGGTATTACAGGTGTGAACCTCCACGCCCAGCTAGTTTTTTATGTTTTTAGTAGAGACAGAGTTTCACCATTTTTGCCAGGCTTAACTGTTTATATCTAACTTCATACACAAAAAGCCTTGCTTTCTTAGCAAAGTCCAAAAATTTTAATCAAAATTCTTCCTTACAGGTCTTTCAACAACCTAAAACACAGGAGGAGGTTTGCCAACTAAGCATCAATATCATGCAGGTAATAATTGAAAGCAGTAATGCCCAAAGCCTCAAATGATACTAAGTATCAGTCAACCCCTCTCCTATTTATAATCTGCCGATGACATACACTAATTATGTATTTTTTTTTCCATCTTGTTTGTGTACATAATAGTTGAGGGTAAGTAGGGTAACAAAGTTTAATGTAAGATTAATTCGGACTTGTTTTAACAATACTCAAATGTTTCATTTATGTTATGCTCCCCTCTTTTATGTTTTCTTGGTACTTTATATATATTCTGCTAGAGCACAGTGTAAATGAAATGATAATTAGTTGTTCATATTATATCTGTGTAAAGTATTTTTATTGGGACCAGTGCTTTGCAGGTACATAAAGTTGAGAATGTGGATGAGTGAATGAGAAAATGTCTTTTTCCTAAAATATCTTTACAAACTTAATAATTGATCAAAACATAGTCACTTCTAATTTTCTATTACTTATGTGATAGATATGGATGGGATATATATTTCTGTCATTAATGGAGCATATATAATATATACACATATTCATATATGCACACAACACCACACCACTTATGGGATATATAATTCTACTTTATGTAAAGTTATCTAGGAGTTCATTCCTGTGAGAATTCTGAAACTTACTTTTTCACTCAGGTTTTTATATACTGTCTGGAACAGTTGAGCACCAAACCTGATGCAGACATAGATACTACACAGTAAGTAAAAATCACATTAATCTCATTAATGCATTTAGGAGAATTAAAAATACAAACTCAAGTTTTATACGTGATCTTGTATCCTAAGACTTCTAGTAAGAAAGAAAGATTGTTCATATTAAAGTAATAGTTGTTTTTTATACTTGACCTATATTATTTCCATATTTAGCTTTTAACTCATCTTTGCCTTATTAGAGACATATCGAGCAAATTGAAGACATAATTAGCTTATTAATTATCCAAAGAACAGGTTTTATAAATAATAAAGTATTAAATGTAAATGTAGAACTGCTAGTTGATTATTTTTACGATTCTGGCATTAGGGGGAGGCACTGTTACTCTCGTTAGAGACTAAGCATGTTGGTAGAATTATGTCTGGGTCAAGCTTAGTTATTGGAGCTCCAGTGGACACATCTTAACTTTTGATGTTTACAAATCCATGTGGCAGTTATTTTATAATGCTGTTCTATAGGACACCATTGTAAAGTGCTGTTTTTTTTTTTAAGAAATCTGTTCTTTCTGAATTATACTTGGCATGTGTAACTTCTGTGTACCTAAGAGTTATGCTCTGACACAGATAATACTGAAATAAATGCCTCTTATATCTTCAGTTGACAATTTGGAAATTTATCCGTGTTTGTCTATTTACTGGTTTTGGCTTTTGCTTTTCAGTACATAAAACTTATCACCTCCCTAGGGACCCAATAAGGTTTTAATTCTTTTAGGTTTACTTTGATTTGGTTTTATATTTTTAGCTCATTATTTCACCAGGAATTTATGTTGTTAGATCCTTAATATTGCGGATTAAATTTCATGTATCCATAATACCTTCTTTTAGCTGTTAAGTCTAAAACACTTAAAGTTTTGTGACTTTCACCAAACATTTTACATACAATTCATTGCATTTTTAAATTTGCATATAGTTCATTGCATTTTTTAATTTGAGTGCTTTATTTCTAACTGTACTTGCTTCCGTGTTCAGTCTCTCTGTTGACGTTTCTTCCCCTGATTTGTTTGGAAGTATCCATGAAGACTTCAGCTTGACCTCTGTAAGTCAGACAATAGCTAGAAAGTAAACCATTTTAAAACCGTGTAACAGCGATTTCAAAAATCGAATTACTTTGTTCCTGCATCATGGCTGTAGCATGTGGTATAGGACACTGTGCTGTGCTTTGGAGCTATATTATATGAAATTTTCTGGAAAGTATAATGTATCTGAATTTTGCACTTAACATTTTTAGCTGGAGTTGTGATTTCAGTCATTCCATATACTATCTGCATCTTTGTGCTTTCTGAATGTTAAATAGGTGCCCTTGTAGTTCCCTGGTGCTTGAGGGTTGCTGTGATGTGTGGGGGAGGAGGCAGAGGACAAGGGCACCCATTCCCCCCTACAGCTCATGCCTCTTCAATGGGAGAAGTTCTGCTTTTCTCTGTTTTATTTCTATAAGTTGCCTAATAGCATTTTATTTGAACACAACCTGAAATACACACACACACACACATACACACACACACACACACTTATACACAAACAGATGTATACATACATATACTGCATATATAGGTATGTATGTATACACACATACTTTTTAAAATGTGTACATGTATTTAAGGAGATTGAGGAGATTCACAAACTTATATTATGACATGTATAAATTCGTCTATTGACATTCAAACTCCAGCTATTATAAATGAAATAACCCTTTCTGGCTAGGGGCAGTGGCTCATGCCTGTAATCCCAGCACTTTGGGAGGCCAAGGCGGGTGGATCACTTGAGGTTAGGAGTTTGAGACCAGCCTGGCCAATATGGTGAAACCCCATCTCTACTAAAAATACAAAAATTAGCTGGGTGTGGTGTCGGGTGCCTGTAATCCCAGCTATTTGGTAGGCTAAGGCAGGGGAATCACTTCAGCCCAAGAGGTGGAGGTTTTCAGTGAGCCAAGATGGCACCACTATACTCAAGCCTGGGTGACAGAGTGAGACTCCATCTCAAAAAATAATAATTATTATAAATAACCCTCACTGGTTATTATAAATAATAATTTTATAAATGAATAATTATAAGTATTATAAATAAATACTTATAAATAATAATTGTCATGAGTTTGAAGGGTGTATGGGTGTATGCATATGGGGGTCTGTGTGCCCGCATGCGCACGCACACATGCATGGCTGGCTGTCTCAAGGAAAAACTGTTTGACCCAAATTTTCTACCATATGTCATTTCCCTGGTCATTATAAGTATGAATACCTAAATAAGGGGTTTGGTGTATTAGAAAAATATACTTTGATCAAAGTAATCTCAAAACTTATTCTAGATTCAATTTTTTAGATGACTAGGTATAGAATGATACCATTCACTGAGATAGAGAAATCAGGGAAAATACAGGTTCGAGAGAAAGATTAAAAATTCAGCTTGAGGGACAGGCACAGTGGCTCACACCTGTAATCCCAGCACTTTGGGAGGCCAAGGCGGGTAGATCATGAGGTCAGGAATTCAAGACCAGCCTGGCCAATATGGTGAAACCCCATCTTTACTAAAAATACAAAAAATTAGCCAGGTGTGGTGGCGCTGGCCTGTAATCGAGGCTGATTACAGGTTCCTACTCAGGAGGCTCCTACTCAGGAGGCTGAGGCAGGAGAACCACTTGAACCCAGGGGGCAGAGGTTGCAGTAAGTGGTGGTCACACCATTGCACTCCAGCCTGGCAATAGAGCAAGACTCGCTCTCAAAAAAAAAAAAAAAAAAAAATTCAGATGGGACCAGCTTTGTGACATACAGGTAGATACCAAGTGGGTGATTGAATATCCTTGTTTGGATCCCAGGAGAGAAATCTAGATACAGATTTGTGAATCAGCAGTACTTAAGCAATATAAGGCCTGGGAGTAAGAGAAATGCTCCTTCTTCTGTTCAGCCAGACTTGCAGGCAGAATCTCCCCAAGAGTGGTGGCAGTGGAGTTCCTGCCAGGGACTGTCCCAAACCATCCCGAGATGGGTTCAGTTGGCGTTCCAAAGAAACAAGCATGAAATTCAGGGTGATCAGTGCAAAGCATTAGGGAACAAAGCACAGAGGGGGCTTCACTGAGTCCTCGCCAGGAACAGCAGGGGAGGATGACCTGCCTAGGTATGTCGGCAATGAGGGGGCTTGGGCATGGAGTTTATAGGAGGGTTTAAAGCATTTGGTTCAGGGCGGGGCTGATTTCTGCTATTTAGCAACATGGTTGATCTCTCAGTGTTTTCAAACTACAGCCTAAAGAGCTTCATCAGTGCCTGGGAGGTCAGGGCCCCTGCTTGGGTGCAAGCCTGCAGGGAAAAATGGGCAGCTGGCCCAGTCAGAGCCATCAAGGCACTCTGTGCTCCCTTGACAGGGCATGGAGAGAAATTGAGGGGAGCTGGGGAACCCTATACTTGTTGGATGAGAGAAGGGCCAAATATATAAAAATAAGGTTGAGGGTTTCATTATTTATGGGCTCACCAGGTGCAGAGAGCCTCAGTGTACCCTGAAAAGGGTTAATGAGAGGTGTAGAAGGAAATCCAGATAGAGCGGCACTCCTGAGAGGGATGGAAAATCACATTTAAACAAAGGAAAGCTTTGCAGCCTCAGCGGCTGAGGGGCTTGAGGAGGATGGAAATGCAGAGGGCTGGGGGAGTCCTGGGGAGACAGGGCTGCAGGAGAGGGCCTCCCGAATGGAGACAGCAAGAGTCTTCCCTTTGCTGGCACCCTGAATCCTCAGGCTCTCCCTGCTGGTGTGGCATGCCCCTGCTCCTATGCCTCTTCCAGTGGGTGGAGCACAGGAGTCAGCCCTGGATGCCCTGTGACCCATGAGGCTGCAGCTGTCTGCTAAGTCACATTGAGCCTATTCTCACCTGTCCCCCCAGGCACCTCACATGTGCCTCTGCAGGTTGCAGGGCCTCTCTCCTGCTACTCTCCAGTGTCCTTTTGTGACCAAATTCCTCTGTATACTCCATTGGAAGCTATTTCATGAGATTTGGTGAGATCTTCTTAGGGTCTTGTTCTGTTATCCAGAAGGGAAGCAGCTATGATAAGAAAAACACCTAGATTCAGAGTTGGAAGACAATGGTTGGCATCCTATGTAACCTCGGGCATATCACTGACCAGGCGCAGGCCCTGTGTTCTGAACAAAACTGATGGTGACGCCTGCATCACAGAGATGCTGTGAGGAATCACTGATATAGCAGAAGACCGTCTTCTGTCACCTTCACATGCTGCATTTGATAGCTGGAGTTGTTGTTTTCAAATGTACCTCTTCATCTTAGTTGTTAATAAGCTTTTGATTAGTCATCCACGGTTGAGAATTTGTGTTGTTCAGTTTTTCTTTCCACTTTTATTGCATCTTAATGATTAGATTTGAGCAACAAATGTACTTACAGGAGTAAGATTTTAAATAACTCAAATAGCTTTTCTGTTTTTTAAGAGCCACGTAGCTTACAATGGGAAAAACAAAGAGAATTAACAGGGCAGAGAAGGTGTGGCAGGCTCAGGTCGCTAGCTAAGGAGGCTTGACTCTGGAAGGAAAAAGTCATTAAGGATTGATCTTTGAAACTGAACAACCAGCTGAGGTTTTTGAGGCAAACAGCATGTTGGGAGTAGCCGATGAAATGTCATGTTTACTTACTCTTTGTCCTTTTGGGGACTGTGTAATGGTAACTCCAGGCCTGGGGACCAGAGGGGAATGCTGCCTCCTTGTTCCCACCTCACCTGGGCGAGTTTCCAGTGACTATTCATGTTTTCCTTCTTGATGTTTATTCACAAAACGTGGAGAAGTGTTATACATAATACAACCCTGTTTACCTTGTCTTATGCTCCATTTCCTATCCATAGAGTAATTCAAGGCCATTCACTTGTTTGAACGTCTTTTAATAATTCCTCGGCCTTTTACTTATATTTGTTGATGACCAAAAACAGGTAGTGAATAGGCTACACTCTGCCAGAAATAAAGACAGGAACATTAGAATAAAGGAATCTAGAAGGTTTTTGGAAACTATTGAGCTAAATGAAATTATTGGGAAATGTAAAAGATGATTGGCAAGTAAATTCAAGGACTATAGTTACCATTTTTCCACATATCTCAAAAAATAGGAACCTCTTTCCACATTTACTATATCAAATTACTGTAAGTTATTCTGATTATACACAGAGAGAGCATGCAAAGTATGTGATGGAAAGTGGTTTCTGCTGTAGGGTTAGTTGAAGGATCTAAGTCAAGGACCTAGATTAGTCAAAGTTGTTCCAGAGAAGGCCCACCCACCCTCGGGAGCACAGGTCAGGTGCCTCGGTGAACCGCATCAGCAACATAGGGCCATTCCTGGAATTTTATTTACCAAGTAGTTCTTCTGAACTGTAAAAGGATACTGTGTTTATCAGCATTTGCGTGTGGTAATTTTTGCAAGAAATTACTTTAGGTGGACAGAACCCTGGAGAATGTAGAAGTGACTGGTTTGTACCTCTTCCTCTTGTCTACAATGACTACTTCCTAAGGCGGAGTCCTCTCTCAGTGACCCTCTCTCCCCATTAGAGGGAGATGATTCCTTGTTTTCTTCTGCAAACACAATTCCTAATGGCCTTAGATATTTGAAGGAGCCCATCATACAGATGTATGGCTATGTAATTCTCTTCCAGGTTATACAAAATTTATAAACTTTTTTATAACAGTTTCTACATTTTAAATGTAATTAGTTATTAAAAATATTTATTCCTGTAGCCTTTTCTTGTACACAAAGTATTAAGTAAGCAGTAAAGTAGAATCCTTTTCGTAAGAAACACTGATCCCAATTCCCACCTGATCCTAGTTAATGGGATTTTATCAATCTGTTTTTTAATACAAGCTGCCTAGTTTTAAAATAAATATTTGATTCTTTGGTGTATTATGTAATTATAAGCAAATAGTAGAATTGCAGGATTTTATTGTGTTTATGTTATAATATTGGGAAAGAAGCAGTCAAGAAAAGCAAAGCATTGAGTATTGATGTCAAACAGCAGAGACTGTGATTAAACCTGACAAGTGTTAATCAGTTATTCTGTCACCATAAATGTGAATTTCTAAAAATTTGTTTTGCTTTTAGGAACAGCGCCTTTTGATAGTCCTAAGTAATTGCTGCTATCTAGAACGTCACACCTTCCTAAATATTGCAGAACATTTTGAAAAGCACAACTTCCAGGGAATAGAAAAAATAACAGAGGTAAGTGAGTTCATGTAAAATGCACAAGTCAGTGGTTTTGCCAGCTCAGTTTCCAAGTTGTTTCCTAGCCTGTGTTCTTCTGCTGTCAGAGCCCATCCCCTCTGCATGCCCCCTTCACACCCACACTCCTTCCCCACCTTCACCCTGCTCCATCTTTGGATGATTCCCTTCCTTCCCATGGTTCACCTTGAATTGTTAATACTCTTCTCTTTTCTCTGGAGCAAAGCTTCCTCAAGGTTAGAGCTGGTTTACTCCACATCTGAGCTGTTCAAAAGTGAGGGAAGAAAATAAGGAGAGAAAGGCAGCAGACCCAGATATTTCAGAATTATCTCATATTTGACTCCTTTTAGGTAAATGCTTTTATAGCCAGCAGCAAACTCCCTGAGCCTGCAGAAACACCTCTTCCTGCTATTCACATCTCTCCTTCCTCTCTCCGTTTCTGTATGACCTCAAGGATGCTTTTGCTTTGCTGCTGTGCGCATGTACACGTGCACACACACACCGGCTTAGGCAGCAGAGCATCCTATGTGAAAAATATATCCTCCCCACTCTCCAATCACTGCATGCGGAAAGGTTGGGCAAAAGGGAGTCTTGTAGAAATTAATGGAGCGAGTTTTCTTTTTAATGTTATACTTTGTTGTTTATATTTTTTTCAACTAAGAAGAAAAGGAAAAAATGAAGTAACCTTGTTATTAAGGTTGGTTGGTTCCTGGGCAAAGGTTTATCAGATTTCTCAGTAAAACTGTGCTAGTACCACTTTTTAATGTCAGTACATTTTTCTTAGTGCGAAGAGTAAGAACGATAATGATCTGGTTAATCTTATAATCAACATGTATTCTGGATTACATACTTTTTATAAATGGTGGCTCCAGTTCATGAACTACATTGGGATTTTTTTTTCAAAGAATGAAAATGTCAAAGTGGGCGGCCCTGTCTTGTTTTCCTGCCTTTTCGTAAAGATTAATCATTCTGATGAGAAATGTTGTGACTTAAGCCTTTGGGGTCAAACGTCTAGTTTATTTCCAGAAACTTTTGTGTTAACAATTGCAAGGTGCTATCTTGCAGTAAAAAGTGGCTATTTGTAGAAGGTGGCCACTTTGTTTTTATATAATTACATGAATATATTTATTGGAGAAATTTTATCATTTACAAATATATGAAATTATTAGAAATTGCATGTAAAAGAAGCAACAAATTTGGTTTTCTCTAGTTTTTTTGCAGTACTAAGTAGGAACTATCTGTTGCTTCACTTTATATCATTAAGAAGTAGAATTAAATTAATATTAAAAAAGATTTTTTTCATATCCTTCCTAGTCTTTGTCCAGATCATTTTGAGACCAAGATAATACAAAGGATCTGGAGATGTAGCAGTGTAAATGGTAGGCTCTTTTCCACTCAGAATTTGGATTATTTTTAATCGACCATCTTGAATATTTTGAAATTCAGTTGTGTTTAAAATAAATAGACAGTAAACTAGATTTAGATGATAAAGTTTGCATTGATTTTATTAATTTGTGAATCTGTTTGGGAATTTATTCATTTCATGATTCCAACCAAGTAAAATATATTCCTGGTAGCAAAGGGAAAGGCCTGCTGACTGCCACTGTTTATTATAGTTTCCCTCCAAATGACAAATAATTCTAGAGGCATCAATCCCAGAAAAATCACAGGGCACAGGTCACAGTGGATGGCTTATCCATTCTCTCTCTGTTTCTGCACTTGAAGATGAGGGTCTCTAGCAGGGGGACCTCATGTCGCTGGGCATCCTCATGTCACTGGGCGTGGACCTCTTCTCAGACTCCTCTGGTTTAAGCCAGGGGTTGGCCAAGTGTTTCTTCTGAGTATATTTCCCTCTGCTTTCTTATTGGTACTTCTGTCAGGAGAAGCATCATTCCCTTCACCTGTTTATCACCTTGGAATGTAGAGATTAACTTAGTGTTAATGTAGGAACAGGAGACAAATAAATGTTTTTAGAGGGTTATTAAAATTTAATGATCAATGACATTTGAAGCTAGAATGATTTTATACATACAGTTGTATTTGGTGCAGATAATCCTGGGAAGAAATCAGGGATAGTATTATCAGCTCCATAATCTTCACAGGGGAAGATACTCAGAGAGGTCAAGGACTTGACCTGTAAGTAGCACAGCAAGACAGGACTCAAAATTACATTTTCTTATTCTAAATCCAGAATCCTTTCTGGTCTAGCAGCACGCATCTTCAAGAATAAAACGGGTCTCATGATGATACAATTGACCCTTAAACAACTCAGAGGTTGGGGTGCCAAACCCCCTGTGCAGTTGAAAATCTAAGTATAACTGTTGACTACCTCAAGACTTAGCTACTAGTAGCCTACTGTTAGCTGGAAGCTTTGTGAATAACATAAACAGTGCATCAACATGTATTTTGTGTACCTGTTGCATACTGTATCTTGTAATATTGTAAGCTGGAGAAAAAAGAATGTTATTAAGACAATTATTAGGAAGAGAAAATGTATTAACTATTCATAAAGTAGAAGTGAATAGTCATTATAAAGGTCTTCATCCTCTTCATCTTCATGTGGAGTAGGCTGAGGAAGAGCAAGAGAAGGGGTTGGTCTTGCAGTGTCAGGTTGACTGAGGCGGAAGAAGATGTGTGTGTGTATAAGTGGACCCATGTAGTTCAAACCCATGTTGTTCAAGGGTCAACTTTATACCAAAGGAGTGAAAATAGGACATGAAGCCGGTTGACTACTGTATGTTGTTTTGGCCTTTATGAAACCACACTGAGTGGTACTTCATAAGATCAGGGCGTCCAAATCATCTTGCTCCACAAGGTTCCGTCTTAAAAGTAAGCCGCATTGTAAAGCTTTGGTAGACTTGGTGCCGTTCGAATCCAGACAGTGTGTGCCAACAGGGAGCGTCCTGCCATGTGTGTGCATTTTCATTTGTATTGCCCGTACCATTTAGCTTTTTCTCAAGTCCTGGAGATGCCTTTTTCTAGTCATACATTTTTTTTTCGACTTATAAAAGTGAGACCCAACCATTATTTTTAAAAAGAAAAAATATTGGGAAGTTGAAAACAATAATAAAAATTAAAATCATCTATAATGCACCAACCAAAGGAAGACACTACTATTTTAATATTTATAGTAACCGTGAATTTATATATCCTATATATGCATATCTATTTGTTATAAAAATATGAAACGGTGAAAAGAAATTTGAGAAAAAATACATTTTTCTGAATTAATGTGTGGTATTTTTTCTACTGAATATTCTATTGTGAGTTCTTTTCCTTTTTTATTTAATGTTTTTATAAAATGTGTTTTATGGCTTTATAACCTTTGTTAATGTGGATATACCATAGTATTTTTAAAGTCTCCCATACTAGTATCCTTAGGTTTATTTTTAATTTTTTTTTTTGTTACTGAGAAGTGAAGATCATCTTTGATCACATCTCTAATTATTTACTCACAACAGGCTCCAGGGGAGTAGATTCACAGCTCCAAAGACACTTGGTAAATATTGCCAGATTGCCTTTTGGAAGCTGATCTCATCACATTTCTGCCATCTTTTAAATTACAATGTTTAATTGGATAGGTTAAAATAGGGCTTCATTGTATTTTATTTTGCATGCTTCTTTCTATTTAGGTTAGCACTTTTTCTTCTGTTTATTCACTGTTTATATTCTAGAGGAGCTAATTTTGAAGGCTCTTAGAAAGTTAAGAAATATGTTGCAAATAAGTTGGCAATTTAAGTGTGCAAACCAAATTTGCCACAAACCAAATTCTTTGAACCTTTGAGAAAGGAAAACCAGAGTTGTATGGTTAATAAACTTCAGCAAATAATTTTATTGTGGTAGGTATAATTACAGAATTCCAGGGAGTGTTTTTACATATATAAGATACTTTTTAAATATGTCCCAGTCTTTAAAAAATAAGCATCTAACTCAGAATTTGTATACTTGCAGATTTTCACCTGATGAGACCTGTAGACATTAAATATTCTGGCTTTAAATTTTTAATTGAAGTTTTATTTGAAGCTTCTAAATCTCTTTCAGAAACTCCAGTGTGAGGGGTGTGGAGAGACAGCGCCTTTTTCTTGTGTGTCCGGGGGAAATTCCTTTATATGGAGCAGCTGATTTTAAGGAGTTTTGCATTGCTTTAACTGCATACACTGTATTTTACATACTTGGTTATTTTAGCTTAATTGAATATAATTAAATTTCACTTGGAAACCATTTGAATTCATATTATGTGAATGAGTACAGCTTCGTGTCTTCACTACTTATATCATCTCTGTATATGTGTGTTTCATTTTCCTTGTTGCTCGATACATATAAACAAAATCAGCTAAATTTTGTTTAGAGGCTATTTTATATAATAAATAAGTTGTAAATTAATCTGTTTTGGAGTTTAAGATCTTACAGACAGAAATGATAAACTGATCAGATGTGTTTCTGCCTTCAAAACATTGAGCCTCATTTTTGACCTATTTGGCTGCCTTGAGTTTCTTGTAGAAACAGGCAGGGAAAGAATAAACATACATAGTTAGAGAGATGCACCATCAGAAGGACTCAGGGACCTTGTAATTTATAAAGTGTTACGGCCCCAATAGAGAAAGTAGCTGAGAAAAGGTTTCACAAGCCACAAAGAACGTAAGATTGCGCATTCCAGATGCTGTTTCAAAGAGTAGAGGAAAGGCACTAAAACGTCTTTGGAAAGCTGGGAAGTGCAGGAACTAAGGAGTAAAACAGCCTGTTCTCCAGTTGGGTAGAGTATGGCATTTGTAAGTCAAAAACCTTGAACCTAAGCCAATACAATTTAACCCACATAAATAATTGTGTTACCATCCCCTGAATATTTCTGTTCTCTGGGCATTTGATTTGTCTTCTTCCTCTTTGTGATCAGCAGTTTCCGTAGACAACCTCATTTGCCTTCACAGCCTCATCCATCACTGATGGATGCCCATGATTCCCAAATTCTTTATTTTCGACCTGCATGTCATTCTGAGACCTTA